GACCTGCGATGCGGCGCTTCACCCATGACTCTCCCCTGACGCTCCCTACAGCGCACCCTCCCCCCCCCCCTGGGCGCCCCCAAAACCACGCCCCGCGCACCCTCCCCAAGGTCTCGGAGGTTGATGGCGCGCGGCCGCGACCCGGGCGGCTGCTGGCCCGGCGGCCCCGGGGGCCGCGGCTGCTGCCGCAGCATATCGCTGTCTGCCGGCGAAGTCGCCACGCCCGAGGACGCGCCGCCGCTGCTGAAGTTGGAGGCGCCGACCAGCGCCAGCCGCTGCTGCCTGTCTTGGTGGATGGCCAGGAGGCTGCCTGCCGATGAACCGATCAATACGCCTATTGCGATGCGGCGCGCGAGTGCGGGCGTGCCCATGTAACGAGCGCGGGGTGGGGGGCGAGCGGCAGCTGCGGGCCGCGTCGCAGCTGCTGGGGCGTGGGAGCGAGCACGAAGCATCAATGCCTTGATTGGAAGTAATGCGTGGGATCAACGTCGGTCAATGCAGTATGAAAGACTCGCAGGCTGTGACCGGGACTGGCGTCACTCGCCTGCGTGGTCAAGTCACTTTTTTTCCGCGCGGAGATCAATCGCCGCTCAACCTGGGATACTTCAACGTCGATGATAGCTGACTGCGATTAGTTCGTTCACGAGACACCAATGAGCACTTGTTCAGGTGCGCTGAGGGCGGCACGATTGTAGCGCAATCGCGCCTTGGTAAGAAGCGCCCTGCGTGAAAATGCACGGCACGCACCATCGATCGGTGCACTCCACGCCGCCCTAAGAGACAGATTGCGCACCTCAGCGGGGACCAGGCTGCCCGGCTGGTTTCTATCTTCAAAAACGTGGATCCACGTCAACTAGGACATGACAGCCTCCCTTTCAGGATACCCTAACCACAGCAGACCACCGCATGCAGCGGTTGCAGTTACAAAGCGGCCATGATGGATGCAGCAAGATCGTGATGGCGAACGAAATGTGCAGATGACTTCACAAACAAAGGCCAACACCTGATTCCTGGCAAAGTGGGAAACCTGCAGCTGTACGCTACATCACATGTTTGACAATACTCATAGCTTGAAAACATCCCCTAGACGACAATATCCACGTGCACCACCCTCACGTCCGCGACGCCTGCCGGATATGGCGCATGCGAAATGCATACCAGTCACCTGCGCGTGTCGCCTGGCGGGTACAAAACACCGACAGCACACCCTCCCCAACACTCGTACCAGCACCCGCAAACGGCTCCACGCGCGCACGAGCACACACAGCCTCAGATCCAGTCCCCCTCCTGCAGCTTGAGGGGCAGGTACACCTGGCTGAGGTACTGGAAGCCGAAGCTGCTGAGTGCCTGGATCTCAGCCTTCTCCTTGGTCTTCAGCATCAGCTCCAGCTCGTGGACCCAGTCCGGGTTGGACTGGATGAAGTCCTCCTCCAGCTGTAGGGAGGTTGCATGTTTTGGGGGCGGGGTGTTTGATGGCAAATTGGGTGTTTCGTGGCGCAAGCTTGAGGGTGTGTTGCCGGGAAGAATTGCGAGGGCAGGACTGGCATCAAACAGGGTCGCGGGGAGGGGCGTGCACCGCACCCTGATAACCAAAGCTGGTTGAGACTATTTACACGGGTGACTCCCACGTCATCCCGCGCCCAAGTCAGGATTGTCTGTGGCTGGTATCAGCTGCATTGTACGCAGGCCACACAGACGTTTGTGCTGGTGCACCGCAACGTGGGATTGCAGCCATGCGGTTTGGTTGCAGGATTGACACTCCAGGTGTGTGTCACCTGTTTGCAAGGAAGCCTGAACCTTCTTGAGACAATACTGTCGCTTTGATGTGATAAAAATTACGTCACGATCAACTCAGTTGCACCCTTTGAACTGCCGGGCCGGACCCGTCCAGCCCCCGTAATCGCAAAGCCCTTAGCTGCCAACCTTCGCCGCGTCCACTTGACCTTACTAATTCAGCCAGCTGCCGATCAGCTTGCCCCTTAGCAGTGTCCTCATTCGCACGCAGTCTGCCTTACTGCAAGGCCCCCACACACTCGCCACCCGCCCGCTTCCCACCACCTGACCGCTCCACAACCCCGCCACCCGCCCCGTCAGCTACCCACCAGCTTCCTGCCGGTCCTCATGTCCTCCTCCGTCATGGGCAGCCTGCACTGCTGCGGGATGTTGAAGCGGTCCAGGTCTGTGGGGCGCACCCCCAGCCACTTGATGTCCGGGGTGGTCAGGTTGGCGGCGTCATATGACATGTTCATGGAGCCCTGGGGATGGGTATGGGTGGGGTTCGGCGGGCCAGGGTGCAATGGGACAGGGTTCAGGGTTCAAGGGTCGAGGGCTTAGGGTGCAGGAGCCCGGCGGCATGAGCTTCTCGCATGCTCAAGGCTTTGACCGGCGGCATGGGTGCATGACGTGTGCGATTGCCTTGGCGATGTGCCAACCCTGGGCCTCAAGAACCTGTGCCAACCCTGGGCCTCAAGAACCTGGGCATCCAGCAATCGCCACCCCCGCCTGCGCGCTTGCGCCAAGCCGCACGCACGCATGTGCACGCCACGCGTGCACGCACACACGCGCACCCACACACACGCCTGCGCGCGCGCGCGCACACACACACACACACACACACACACACACACGCTCGAGCAGCCCCCTCCGTCCCACACGCCCCCAGCCCATACGACCCCGGCAGCCCCAGAGATCCCCATGCGAGATCGTGGCTGCGCGCCTTCATGTAGACCGACAGGATCTTGAGGCCGTAGGGGTCAGAGTCCACCAGGGCCAGCACCGGCAGGTTGAGGGTGTCCTTGAGCTTCCGCAGGAACAGGCTGGGGGTTGGGTGGGGGACGGGTGGCGAGGAGAGGGGAGCAGGGTAGTGGTTGGTCGGGTGGGGTTGGGAGAGGGGGGCAGGGTAGTGGTTGGTCGGGTGGCGAGGCGAGGGGAGCAGGGTCGGTGGTGGGTGGGATGGGGAATAGAACGAGGGGAGCAGGACGGCGGGTGGGGTGGTGATTAGGTTTGAAAAACAGGCTCGAGGATGAGCCTGGGCTAGGTGGGGGTGAGTGTCATGGTATACAGGGTCGTAGAGCCCTTCCCGAGCACGCTAGCGACACCTATTGGTCTGTCACGTTACATTGTTACAGCGCCCCTCGGTCGCTCTTGGAGCCACCCAGGCTCGTGGGGTGGGGTGGGCCCGAGTGGGGGGGAATGGGGGGTTGGTTGGCCGACGGGGTGTGCGGCCGGCGAAGGGGAGGGGGTGTGAAAGGACTCTGGGTGAGGGATGAGACGGCGAGGCTGGACGAGGGGCGCGTAGTGCTGTAGAATGCAGGAGGACGGGAGCTGTGAGTGAGGCCCATAAGCGAGTGCAGTCCGAGGTGCTGTTGTGTACCGAAGGGGGGGGAAGACAGGGTAAGAGCAGCATGTGCAGGGGCGTGTACGGCCTCTTGTCGTGGCAGGCCCGCCCTCCCACCACAGGCTGCACCCGACCCCACTCCACCCTAACCCCACCCCACCCCACCGCGTCGCGACGTCTGGCTGGCCCTTGGCCGTTATGATGATGCAGGGGTACGTATTGTAGAACCTTGCGTGTGTGTGTGTGTGTGTGTGTGTGTTGGGGGGGGGTGCGGGGGCCATCCACTTGGAGGGACATTTACAAACCAATGTTTAAATTTTGGGGGGGGGGGGGGGCGGCGGCCGCCAGCAAGCCATTCTGAGGAGGTTGCGATGGGGGCAAGCCGCCCCCTGCCACTCCATGTCGTGGTCTCGTCGGCATGTCACCACGGCGGTGCGTCGCGGTGATGCGCCGCTGCTTGACGCGCAGCGCGTGCGGCGATGCACATGAGCACGCTTGGCCCCGTGCATGCGAGCATTGGTGGGGAAGAGGGCGGCTACGGACAACCTACGCATGCAAGAACTCAGACACACTCACACACCACACACCCACACACCCAGAAACAAAGCACACGCACTCAGGCAACCCATGCACACACACACACATCTCACACACACACACACACACACACACACACACACACGCAGCACGCATGCATGCATGCGCACATGCACACACACGCAGCCCCCACCTGTCCTCCGCGAGGCGCATGAACGCGGCGTCCTTCTCCACCAGCAGGATGAACAGCGCGTCGCTGGCAATATCCCCCACCTGGCAGTTTCAAGCCCGGCAGTCCGAAGGGGTGGAGCAAGCAGTGGTGCGAAGTCATTGGAACCAATCCAAAAAAATGCATGGGTCGACGCGTGGTTGCTGTGAACGGGGGATCGCGGATGCAGGCTTGCGGCCAAAGGGGCGCAACAGGGCGCAAGTGAGAAGGGTGCGCTCGACCCCCCACCCTGCAAGCCGCGCCTCGCCGCCGAGCAAACCGCAAGCCCATGCGTGGCTCTCGGCCCTAAACCCTTTGTGGCGGCCGCGCGGCGCCGCGACGCGCGCGTGCGCGCGCCTTGTCGATGTTTGGTGGGATGGCCTTGCCGCCGACCCCCATGCGGCGGCAGTCTATGAAGTCCCCGTCCTCGCGGAAGGACAGCCGCCCCACCACCACGCCCTTCTCAGACGCCACCACTGGGGGGGCGGCGCGTCATAGGGGGGGGGTCAGTTGACTTGCACAACACAGTGTGAGGGAGGGCGGCGCCAAGGGGGCGCGGGGAAGGCGTCCAGGCGGCGCTCCCAAGCAGCAGGAGTAGGAGGACGCCATCGTGAAGCGCGCTCTGCAGGCAGCGCGGCGCGGAGTTCGGACTGCAATCATGGTGGCCGCCCCCCAGGGGCTGCGCGCGCTGCTGTACGCCCCCCGAGTGCGCAGCAGCCCCTGCTGCGGCGCCCTGCGGTCCGGCAATCTGGGCGCCGGCGCACCGTGCAGGCTGGTGCGCGTGCAGCCCAGCATGCAGGCCAGGTCGTCCAGTATTGAGTCAGACTGGCCCTGGTCCTGTGGGGGTGGCGCGGAGTGACGGGAGTGACGGTTTGCGGGGGTGGGGCGCGCAGTTGGGTTGGGGTGGTCGAGTGAGACGGGGCCAGTGCATGGTGGGGCTAGGGCGAGGCAGGGAAGCCGCACAGCTGGGGTACGCAGAGGGTGTCTGCAACAGCCGTAGGTGACTGGACCAAGCACGACAACATCAGGAACACGCGCGCACAGACGCATGCGCGTCCAACTGCGCGTGCTGGCACGCGCATGTGCCCACACACCCGCACCCACATCAAACCCACACAATCACACATGCATGCTCACACATGTGTGCATACCCACACCATACACACTCTCCTCAGGCCTTGATTCCATACCCTAACGTCCCTCTACGACCCCCTGGACAAACGCACAACTGCACGCACACGCACACGCGCACATGCACACAAAAATGCACATGCACACATGCACATAAACATGCACATGCACACATGCACACAAACACGCACATGCACACATGTGCACAAGTCAACAAACCTCAAACAGCTTGACATCAGTGTAGAAGAGGTCGCGCTTTGTCACGTGGATGCGCTTGTTGCACAGCTCGTGAACCAGCCCCAGAATGCGGGTGGTGATGGCGGTCTGTGCATGATTCCCGCGGGGATCGGCGGCGCGGGAGTGGCGGTTGGGGCTGGTTGGGTCCTCGCCCCTGCTGTCGGCAGGAGGGGCAAGAGCAGCCCACTCAATCCACCCGCTGCTTGCGTCCACGCCGCACGCCACTGCAACCGCTGCTGCCATCTTGTGAGCCAGCTGTGCGTTTGGGTCGCAGCGCAGCCCAACCCATAGAAGGCTCATGTTCCCACACACACACACATTACGCAGGATGCAACATCCATGAGCGCGAGTGCCAACACCAACACCAACACCAACACACACACACACACACACACACACACACAAACACACACACACACACATGTGCGTGCAAGCACACACACACGCGCACACACACACACACCATCACACCTTGCGGCATGAGGCTGTGCTGGCAAAGGCGCGCTTGCTGCTGCTGTCCTTCAGCACAATGCGGTCCAGCTCCTGAGGGGGGGGGGGGGCAAGGCCAGGGTTCAGGTTGAGCTGACGGCAGGCGGGGCCGTGGGCCGATCCCTCCGGCGGTGTTGTTGTGCTCCGGCGCTTCTGCAGCCTTGATCCGTTGAGCAGCGCTGCTTTTGCCACTCGCTCCGATTCCGGAATGAGTTAAAACCATTTATTGCATACCAAGCTGCCGTAGGGGGAGGGGATCAAGCATGTGAAGTTGACAGACCGCCTGGCCTGGCGGTGCCGCTACAGACTACAGCTAAGGGCCCCAGCCGGCGAACGAGCCGGCGGAAGGTGGGTGCTCCTGAGCCCCACCTTTACGTACATCTGGTTGTTCTTCGTGCGCGACGGCACTTCGTATGCAAACCCCTCCCCCTTAAGGATGGTGGCCGCCACCTGCGGCCGGGGCGGCGTGGCCGGGAGACAAAGGGGGTGGCGGTGCTGCTGCTGGGGGCGCGCCATCCAATAGCTGCACTTTGCGTTGGGCAGCGCGTTAGCCGCTCGCTTTCACAACGCGATGGCCCCGCAAGGTACAAATAACAAATCATAGCAATGTGCGCCGCGTCGGCACGCGACCCTGCTGCCGCCGAACAGCTGATGTGGTGGCGCCTGAGCTGTAAGAGGGGAGGCAATAGAGTGGAGGCCGGGCGGCTGCGCCGCACCTCGTACATCGCCGCCTCAATTTCGTCCAGCACCGCATCAGCATCCTTATCCACCACCTGGAAGGTTGGGATGGCATGCGGTCTGGACACGTCGGTTGTGTTAGGCGGCGCGCAGCAGCCCTTTCAAGTGTGGCGAAGTGGGCCGATTTCCCGCTGAGAACATCGTGGAGGCGAGCTGCTGCCGCCACAAAAGGCTGGCGATTGCAACTGTGCAGTGTGCTTTGTGTGCATTTGCTCGTGTGCATGCGCACCTCTCTGAACGCGTGTGGCAGGTTCAAGTCAGTGAGGGTCCTGCGGAAGGCGATGGTTTGCAGGAGGGAGCAGTGTCTGGAGACCGTGCTTGCTCAGTGGCGGTGGCTGCAGTGCTTCCTTGCGAACGCAGTGGTCTGGCGTGCATGCTGCACCCAGCATGGCGCACAATCAGTCCCGTCAATGCCACCAACCGTCTCCCAAGGCGCCTCCTGCATAACGCCGCCTACGCAGCAGCTGCACCTCACTCACTTTGCCACTGCCCCGGGGACGTGCTTGCTCTGTTCAGCCAGTCTCTTGACGGCCTTGAGCACCTCCTGCGTATCGACGTGAACATATGCGTGAGAACGAGGCCTTCAACCCCTTGCAAACTTTACTGCACACTCCTCCACGCTAGCATCTCGATCGTACCTCTGCAGCCTTGACCTTCTTAGCCTGCTTGTCTATTTCATCCCCGATCCGTTTGCTGTTGCTCGTTCCCGCCTTGCTCATCGTGCAGATCTGATCATGGGCGGCAATCGGTTGACATCAGATGGAGGAGGGCGCCGACCATGTCAAGAATTCAATCTCGGTACCGGTATTTGCCCGCATATGGTCATTGGCACGGGCCACACCACAGCCTGCAGGGGGTGTTGCGGTGACCCAGCAGTGCGAGCCGTGTCACCCTCCGGAGGCACATTACTTGTGTCCTGATTTTGCGCTCATTGGCAAGGGCAGAGCTTGAACGGGCAGCTTGATGATCGACATGTATGGTTCCACGCCATCAACTTGACTGATGAGGTGTTGCCTAGGTGCAGCAGCTGCTGGCGGAGCGCTCTTCTGAGGTCCTGATCAAGTGCGTCGAGTCGGAGGGGCGCCCCCCTGATCTGCAAGCAGCGGCTGCTTTCATTTGAAAACCGCAGCTGATTCGCGTGCGCTGATCAGAGCCCTGAATGTGGCAGGTTCGAGGTCTGCAGCCCTCGTCAGGCGCTGGTCAGCAGGGCGGGGCGTGATCCCCTGTGCTGGGTGCGTGCAGCCGGCGCAGCCCCGCACAGCCGTACTGCACGCTTGGTGGCAATACACACTCGAGTTGCGAGCAGGGCTTACACCGCTACCGCCGCCGCCCCGCGAGCCTCCGCCGCGGCGCCGCCGAGAGCAGCCGCTGCGCCTCTGGCGTGTCCAGGAAGGACGACAGCGTGACGGGCCGCAGCACGCGCACCATGCCTTCCTCGTCCGCGGCGCGCCGCAAGTCCGGCGGCGGCTGCGCAGAAAAACGATCACGCGCGCGCGATGACGCACGGGGGAGGAGGGTGCTTTGCGGTGGGATAAGCGAGGGGTGAAGTAAGGATTATGCGGACAGGCCAGCAACCGCCAGGGCACCGCTAGGACTGGTGTCACAAGGCCTTGCTCCACCCTCGGCTTCCAAGACGCCCAGGGGGTGCCTGTCATGCAGCGCAATCCTCCCTCCCTGCCTGCCCCACTCACCGCCAGTGTCCCGTCTCTGTAGGCGTGGCGGTAGAAGCAGGACGTGCCAAAGGGGCAGGCCCCCTCCCCGTAGTCAAAGTGCCTGTGATGCAGCGCGGCACGGGACAAGCGAAATGTTGGTTGGAAAGATGGCCAAGCACACCAGACGGCTGGCCGACTCATGGCACCACGCGGGAATGCCCTTGGTCAAGCAGGATGAGCGCAAGTAACCGCTTGCTTTTAGCTGTCGGTCCAGCCAGCCAGGCCTGGATCGTTCCAGGCTGCCGTTAAAAACTTCAGCAACCTGAGGTTTCCCACGACTTGGCCTCGATTTCGCGCATCTGCAAACCACCAACACTGACGCCACACGACGCCTGATGGCGCCGACCTCAAGCCCTTGGACGTGCCCAGTGCCCCCCCGGTCGCCGCTGCAAGGCGGCCCCACAAGGGCCCTCACATGCAGTCTATGGCGGCCATCTTGCCCTTGTAGGCTGACACGATGGCCTCCTTCTCGTCGGGCGTCTCGGGCCACGAGGTGGAGGGCGTGATAAAGTGCGTGGTGGTGCGACACACCGGGCATGTGCGCAGCGCCTGCGGGGCGCAGGCGCAGCGGGTGGCACGGCGGCTAGCATATTAGAAGGTCGCTCAGATCTGACAGTCGCCCACTGGCCAAGCTAAGTGACCAGTCCAATGAGCTGCTTCTGTGGGCTCGTCAGGCAAAGTCCAGGTGCGGGCCCCCTGTGTAGCGCCCAAGTTGCCGCAGTCCGCGCGACATCGCTCCACAGAGAGGTCCCACTGCCAGCCACCCCCGCAACCCGGCCCCCGCATCATGCACAACGACACCGAAACAAGTGAGGATTCGAACACAAAAGGAGAAAGCAGGGGGGGGGGGTGTCAAGCAAAGGCGTCGGGCGGCCGCCGGTATCGCGATGTAACAGCAGCAGAGGGACACCCCCCTGC